AAATTTCCACCCCAACACTCCTCACTTAGACCTTCACTCTTACTTATCCGCTCTCCCATCTCTACCCTAAGATGGTCATTTTCCCAGAGCTTAGTTACCTATATCCACTCAATTGTACCTATTACTTACTCCTACTAACACCAAAATACTTCTACCACACTCGTAGCTACGGTCCTGAAGGCCTACATATACTCATAATTCACCTATATCCCTACTCAACCTCAGTATCGGAACCAATCAGTCTTTACTGACCACACATCTATACCTTCCACTTTTTCAGTCTGGAGAGGCCACCCACACACATCACTCATTCGGTTATCCCTTAATAGCCCTGGGGCAATGGCCTATAAAGATCCCTAGCTACACACCCGAGTCCATACCAATACCGACAAATGCCCGACCTAGAAAGGCCACACTCACACATTCACCCAACCAACTTTCCATGTCCAACCTGGGACAAAGGCTTGTGAAGACCACACTTACCAACATCCTAGTCCACATATACGACTTCCTCCCACACAACTCTCGGCCAATGAAGACCCTTCACCTATTCATCACCCACCTGTCACCACAACTATAAGGGCCACACACACTCACACACGCACCATATCACATAAACTTACCTACTCAGTCCCTACAATGCTCGGCCAGTCTCTGCCACACACACACACCCCAGATGCCACCCTGGAATGCTCACTTACACTGTTACACTCGACCTGTAATGGCCACACACGCGCACTGACTGTGTCATGCTCTTCTGGAGCCACACACACACTCACACCCCAAATCAAATTATATAAATTCAACTACTCAGTACATATAATCCTTGGCCAGTGTCTGCCACACACGCACATATCAGACACCTTAAACCGCTTGCTCACACAGTCCCACTCGGCTTGTAATAGCCACACACGCACACCGACCGCGTCATGACCTCTTCCTCGCTATATAACACTCAATCCACATCTTCTACTCAGATCCTATGACTTTGCCCTAACCTACACAACTTCCGCTCAACCTATACTCTCACCCGATCGCTTATACTCTATCCACACAAAACCTCCTCACAATAAAGGTTACTACATCCATACTTGACTTAATAACCTCATTCACATCTCTCCTCCCTCATTCACAATCACCTCATTCAACCGATTCTAGGAAAAAAAAAATACAAATAAAATTAATCTTGTTTTACCATACCGAGTCAGAAATTCTAAATTTCCTTACTTTTTGCCTTTATTTCCTCTCCCTCAGCCATGGCTCACTCAACTTGTCCGGTCTTTCGAATTCTCTCTGTGATTTCACTCTCTCTCGTTGTCTCCTTCACTTCTCCCATGTATCTCCCTCGGCCGCTTTCCTCTCCTCTTCCTCTCTTTTTCTTTTTTTTTTCTTTATCCTTTTTTCCTTCTTTTTTTTTTTATTTCGTCAACCTATTTATACTTACCTTGTGGCTCATCACAGCCGTCCCTCTCTTTTTTCCTAATCTAATCTATACCATCCCTTTCACTCTCCCTTCTCTCTTTTATTTTATTTATTTATTTGTTTATATATATATATATATATATTTCTCAGTTATTACAGATTTAATCCTCACTAGTTCGTCTCAATTAGTCATGATATCAAGTTTTACATCTATTCTTATTTTGGATTTATTTTTATCAAGTGGACAACCAAATCTCAAAATGACATATCTATTATATGCATTTGTGGTATTTAACAAAATTTTATTTAAGGGTAACTCTTGCTATACTAAATTGATAATACTGTATTCATCTATCCGATAATATGTATATATACGCACACACTTAAGTTTGACATTTTTTTTTTGGAGATATGAGAACTTGTTTGGGTACAAAAAGAAGAGTAAATAAAAAAAAAAAAGGTTTTTTTTTTTACTAGGTAAGGATGTATATTTCCTTTTTTTTTTTATGTATTCATATATTATACTAACAGTTTTAGTAATTTTAAAATATAGATTTTTTCTATTTAATTATAAAATACACACAATATATACAGCAAGCAAAATAAGCGCAAGTATTTATTATGTAAGTTGGTGAAAAAGAAAGACATTGTCAACCAATCAATATATCATGCTCTGTTTTTTATGATACTGAGTAACTTCCAGCAGTAAAAATTATTCATATAATATATATATATATATATATGTATGTATATACATGAAGAATAAAAAATTGTCACGTAAAACTCTGACAAATGCTGTAGATACATTATTATATAATTTGCTTACACTCTCTGACATTTGATTTTTATTAAATGGAAATATTAACATATGTATTTGATATTTATTAAAATTTATATTTTTATTACTGTGTATTTGTTACATGATTAATGAAATATTGTATGTGTGTGTATATATATATATATATGTTTCCTTAAAACCAACTATATCAATCTACCTTTCTTTTTCCTGTTTCTTTCGCACATTCACACGTACATATATATACATGCGTACATATACGGTTTAGAGGGGTAATATAGTCTAGTATTATTTGTTAAAAATTTCATTCATATGTGTATAGATATATTATATGTTTACATTAACGTAGTAAATATTTTAGAGGTAATGTTTATTTACCCGTATGACATACGTGCGTGTGTATGTATACGTGTAAGTAGGACAAGGAAGATGGCAATTATGGTGTACATTCAAGGCAGAAGGGCAGACACAGCTCATGAGAGCATCTCTCAAGTGAGACAGCTCATTTCTTCTTAGCCCCACTCCCCATTTCTTCTTCTTTTTTTCTTTTTCATTTTCTTCCTAACCAAACATATTAATATTTTCTCTTTCTTATTTATTTATAATATATATATATATATATTTATAAAACAAGTGTGAATAGAAAATTAAGATGAGGCCAGAGGCTGTTGGGGTATGCATTCGCGCAAATCTAGGGCTTCCTCTGTGTTCTTCCTCGTTGTTTGCACGTTTCATTAAGTCACATAATCTGTCTAATTAATTGATTAAGTACCCGTAAATCCATCTCAGATCACCTTTAAAATTACAGACTTCACAACTAATGGCCGAATTCTAATGACAATGTCGTGTGTAAAGATGGGTTTTCATTTAATTAATGTACTGCTTTCTCGAATAATTTAATTAATTCAATTTCTTAAATGAAAATTTATTGAATTAACATTTGCCAACTGAATTAAGAAATAAGAAGTTGTAATGGAGCATTTAATTCAAACAACCAAATCTGCTTAATTTAATTATTCTACCAATTAACATCATGCACTAATCATTCGTGTGTCTGTCCATCTCATAACCTTTTTATTATTATTAACATAAATTTCGTTAATTGATTAAATTTTTGCTAGCAATTTTATGGTAAAATCAAAACAAAATCTTTGCTCAGCCATTTCCGCCATAAACTCAAGACGGCTAGTCCCAGAGCACCAACAAACAAGCAAAATGTATCTTTATTTCGCACCATGAACCATCATACGAGGAAAGATGCCAAAAGAATACTGTTATTTAAATTGGAATATACAAATATTTGCTCTCGCCTCATGTGCTGTTGCCCTATTCTTTCTGCTACTTGTGTGCGCGCTTGCTTGGGTTATTCAGCAAGTCGGAGACGATGATGTCTAAATCACCGGCTTCAACTAACTGTTCGTCCACCTCCAAGGAAATCATTCCCAAGTTAGAAGGATCCTCAGAGCATCATCTTTGCTACCAAATATCCAGCTATTGACCGTGTCTAGTATTTTC